TACTTTTACATATTGAACACGAAGTTTAGGCTTCTTTACTTTTTTGATCAACAAATAAATAATGTATAGTCAGAAACTGAAAAAGAAGGGTCCCTGCACATTTATGTGTATAGGGCCTTGGGTAGGGGGATGCTGGAGATGGAACCCAAGGTCTTTGTGCTGAGCTACAGCCCAGCTGCTTAAAAAAAAAAATTTTTTTTTTTGATACATGTCTTATTAAGTTGCCCATGCTGGGGCTAGGACTTGTAATCCTCCTGACTCAACCTCCCATAGTGCTGGGATTACGGATATGCACCAACATGCCCAGCTTTGGGTGTAGTTTATAGTTTTTAACACTGATCATCCCTTAGTACCTGTATTTAAATCAGTTTCCTTTTTAATGTTATAGAGCAAAAACTTGCTTAAAGTCTAAAGTGCCCCTTCACTGTTACATTATTCCTGATTTTTATTTTGATATCACATCTTTGCAAATACAGATGTTCCATTAAGTCAGACGCAGTTTTCTTCAGTCTTTAAAATGCTCAAATGTTTTTTAGCCAGTTTGGTTAAGGATTTTTTCATCAAGATTTAGATATTCTTATTTTCAGTGTTTCACCTTTGTACAACTCTTTAGCTGTAGATGGGGTCTTTAATGTAGTAAGTAGCAATATCACATCTTTATACCATGAGTAATATACATATAGTATATACATACTACTGTAGAAAAGGTATTTTGAATTGTGTTTTGTTTTGACATAGTTTCGTTCTTAAATCCTATTTACCAATAAGGTTAATAATCTTTTAACATTGTCTATAGGGACCTTAGGAATAAATAAACATGTTATAATCTTAAGAAACTTATTTTTAGTAATTGATCAACATAACTTCAGTTGAGTTGTTGGAATTCTCAGCATACTTTTCTGGACCTAGAATCTAGTCTGTACCAATTTTTTAAACATAGAACTGAAAACTCAGGGGGAAAAAGTTTCCTCAACTTGAGATCTTCTCTCCAGATCTCCATTCTTTGGAGTTTCCATGAGTGTGACCTGAAGAACTTGGAACCATTGAGATTCAAATGTAGGTAGGTAAGTGTTCACACCAGCGCATGCGTTGATTGCCTTATACCTCTTTGTATATGCATCTGTATTGCACCCCCTCAGTGCCTTTCTCCTCTTCCTCCCCACAGATCATGTAGGGCCTGTGTCATCTTGATATTATGTGATTTTGTAAATCTGTATTTTGGTCAGTATGTGTCTGTGATGTGTGTCAGGAGCAGTTTTTTAAAAGTCTTCAGACATTTATGACATTGTGTTGTCTAAAGACTGTCTTTTCACACATAAGTGTTTGCTATATCTGAGCTGGGATGCATTTTTGTGAGTTGCTATTTGTTAAGCTCTTATAAACATTCCCTTGGAGCTACTGGTGTTGAGGGATGCCAAGGTCTTAGTCTTGCAGTTGTTTCATGTGTCCTCTCCAGTGTGTTTAGAGAATGTGAATTATTTCTGGTTCTAAGAATTTCTTCCTGTTAGTCTGTCATTTAAAAGTCATGTTCCAGATTTCATTCATGATGGCATGGATGTCAGTTATTATCCTTTTAAAAACAGTCACAAAAACTTGATGAAACTAGTCATTTGCTTCCACTGTAAGAATTCATGCCAACTTACTCCACACAAATAGGATCCATTCTTAATTTCAAAAAGTTTTTTAAAAGCCACTTAATGGTACAAACTAAATTGTAACTGAAATTTCTTGACTCAAGTAGAGCTCTTGTTCATATAAGAAAGATGAGAAGTTCAGGTGCTTTATTAAGGTAATTTCTCTATGCACCAAAATCTGGGATTCTACCATGCTTTTAATTTTTATTTCTTTTTTTTTTCCTATTATGTGTGCCAGTCACATCTTTGAACCTACAGAATGTCTTTTCCAGGTTTTTTTTTTCCCTCCTAGCCACCTCTTATAAAAAATGAGATAATCCTTTGAACAGTAGTTCTTACACGTTGGTGTCTATAGACTGTCTTAGACACCTCAAAATTACTATCGAAGGTCTGGAGAACTTTGTGTATCACTACATCTGGTGTGTGTGTGTGTGTATATATATATTTTTTTGTTTTTGGTACTGGGGATCGAACTCAGGGCCTTGCACTTACGAGGCAGGCAGTAGAGCCACTGAGCTAAGTCCCCGGCTGATATCTCGTAATATTTACTAAAAAATGAAATGAAAAGTTTTGAAAATAGTACATCTTTTAAGTTAACAATTATAAGTAATGTTTTTATGAAAAATGTTTTTTTAAAACAAAATTGCCATGAATATCGTTTTATTTTATGATGAAGTATATAGTAGCTAGCACAATTTGATATTGGCCTGAGTTCAGGCTAATGTACCTGCAGTTTTACTTTTTTTTTTTTTTTTTGGTACCAGGCATCAAACTCGGGACCTTGCGCTTGCGAGGCAGGTGGCAGAACCACTGAGCTAAATTCCCAGCCCTACTATTTTTTTTATACCATCCAGAAGAATTTTGACTTTATGATCTGAGAGTTTCAGGGGTCTCACTTTGAGAACCATGTTCTAGGATGCCTCTTTATTCCATAAATAGAAAAATTTATATCAACATGTTTGAGTAAAGATCTTTATTGTATTCTGAACCTTAATTTTCCAGAGAGAATTTCTTGTGTGCAGTATATGAACAAATTTAGTTTATTGTTTTCCTTGCCATCATAGAAGTTAATATAAAAGAAAGCACCCAGTTAGTCCAAAACAAGCTCATCCAACTAGATAACTAAATATTTTTCCTTGTTTGTGGTATGTGTGTTGTATGTGAGTATATAATTAATTTGACTCCGGAATAGTTTTAAAATGCATTTTCATGAAGTAACATGATTTTCATAAATTATGGCAATTTACACCATTTGCCTTTTGGCTGTACTACTTTTCCTCCTTATCTGCTGCAGCTTCAAGTGTTACTGGTACAATTTGTATGCCAAAGACTTTGTTAAGCATTACAACATTTCTTAAAATTTTGCCCTTCTTTTCTCTGGAACCAAAATTTGTAACATTTTAAAAGCAGCCCCAGATAGTGGTAGAGATGTCAAGTTAGGCAGACAAGAGGGGCATCTTCTAAGTGGCACTCTCCTGTTATCTGCTTCATAAAATGTATTCCCCTAATGTCCCTGGACTGTTGGAGTCTTAACGAAGTTTGTACCAACAGTACTGAGGGGGTGTGTGATGCTTACATATATGCAGACAGAGAGCAGAGTTTGACTCACACTCAATGCATGCGCTAGTGCTCACGCTTACGTACCTGACATTTCTCATGATTCAGCAGCTCTGCAGTTATTGATGAGGTAGTCAAAATGAATACATAAAAATACTGCTAAAGAACAAGGATATGCAGAGGTGATCCACTAATAAAGAATTCTATTTACTGGTAAGTAACCATAATAATTCTAACTTGAAAAACTCCTTGGTGCATGGTCATTATAAGTACTATAATCATAATGCAAGTGTTCTGTCCATATAACATATAGGTATAACACTATCTCCTATAACATAAATATTTTGCCTGTGAGTATTGTGACTCATTTGTTGATTGCTGTGTTGTATATTCAAGAAAAAAATTTGCATCGCTGTATAAAAACAAATTTTTGGATATGTATTCTTTTTAACTCCAATTAGAACATTACAGTTCTGTTACAACATTTGAAATTGCTCTGTTAGACTATTTGAACCGTAATTTTTCTCAGGTTTATCTTATATTCTTCTTTGGTAGTAGAACCCTTTCTAGTATAGATGGCCCCCAACAACCAAATCAGATAATTATCTGTAATTACCCACTTACCAATAAGCTTCTACTGGCTATCTCTTCATACCTCACTCTAAAAGCCAGGAGGAATTAGCAACAAAGACCACCAGACTTGTAATCAACTGGCATGTGAGACAACTCAACCCTGCCTTTGTGTTCTTTTCTGATCATCACCCACCTGCCTCCTTGTCTACAGGTTAAGAACAATAAGAGTGATAAAGAGATTAGAAAGCAAACCTTGTAAACAGATTTGTGCTATGGAGGAAATGTGTTTTGTAAGAAAGAGTTCTATCTTTAGATTCCAAATAGGTAACTTTAAAATTCTTTTGGAGGAAATTAGCAGTTTGAAAATAGCATATAATGTTAAAGAGAAAATTAAAATTTGAAGGAACATTCTTTCGATGGATGGACCGGGATTGACAGTAATAGTGTTTTGTGTGAACATATAGATGTTTACATGTCTTTCTTCTTAGCTTATTTTAAGAGGCTGGACTTCATGAAGAGTCACTGTGGAAACCCAAGGCACATTTAGTACCTTAAAACCAATTAGTTGCTCAGAAAATGAAGGCAATGATGACAAGGTCCTGCTGACCTCAATCTCTTTATCTCAAGCTATCTCTTTTACTGAGATGATCTGTCACCTATAACTAAATAAAACTTTGAAGACAAAAAAAATTTAAGTAACTCATTTTTTTCCTTGTTAAGCTACATTTCTTCCTGGCTGTCATCAGTGAACACTCTGCTTGTAAATACTCTCAATCATTTTATGTATCATATACTCTTTATTTTTTATTATAAAGAGACTATCTTTAAAAGATCTTAAGATTTTTTTACTTCCTTTCTTGGTTTTTACTTGCTTTTTTTCTTAGCCTTTTCATGTATTCTATAACTTCATATAATGTAAATGTTACTTTTTCTGACTTTCATTTAAAAACTAGTGACACTATTTAAGATATTGATATATCTTAAATCATTAAAGGTATAAGGCCCCATTAAAAAACAATGGTTTAATTATTTTCATTTCTAAATTTTTTTGGGTCATAGAAAATACTCAAATCTCTTCTGAACTAATGTGTTCTAAATGTTCAAGTCAAGCACAAATGGATTTCATTTTCTTGTATTTAAATAGCATTGAATTTATACTAGAGAAGATAACGGGTGTTTTCTTACAGTATTATTTGATTTGTGAACGCTTTTCTTCCTGTTTTTCTTTTATTACAGATTCCCTTCAAGCTCAGCTTATCAATATGGGTGTTATACCTACCTTAGTGACATTACTGGGCATCCACTGCCACAATGCAGCTCTCACAGAAATGTGTCTAGTTGCATTTGGTAATTTAGCAGAACTTGGTAAGTCCTGGTCCTGGAGCACAAATGATATTAACTTATTAATGTACTTATAATTTGTTTATTAACATGGAATCCACTTAGATTATATTACCTTATTATTTTAGGCATTTGAGATACTTGCTTCAGTATTTTAAAAAAGTAGATCCAATTAGATCTTATGATTGTAGTTTTAATTGGAATGGCCTTTAATTATTTTGAGAATTAAGATTTAAAATTTAAGGGCTTGGGTGTGTACTTCTGTGGTAGAGCTCTTGCCTAGAATTTTTGAAGCCTTTGGTTTGCTGTCTAGCACCCACCAAAATTTTATTTTTAAAGTTCATTATGTACATTATTTAATAGAATTCAATATTTTGGTATTTCTTATTGAGGGGTGGTCTTGCACTTGAGTTGTATGTTTAGGGAAAAAGACATTATTATTTATTACATTCTGTATGAATTATTTGTTTACAAGGTGAAGAGACATAAATTCTCTCCCTTCTTTTTACGAAATCCCAAAAAACAACAGGTAAGTTTTTCATATGATTATATTTATAACCACATTAGAAAACAAAAATTGAGGTATCCTTGAAAATTAGAAGATGGAAATCAGACCATTGCTCTGAAATCAGACCAATGCTAGAAACATTCTTGTCTTAAGAGAGCTCATTGGCTCAGCACTGCTGATTTCCTTCTGTTATTTTTTTGTTCATTTTTCCTCTCCTTGCTTCCCCTCCCTTTTCTCCTTCCTTACCATGACTCAACAGAAAGTTACAACTTTTAGTTTAATATTTACCCCACGACCATGTCCATAATAAATTATTCAATGTTTTGTCATAACTAAATATAATTCAAGTCTTATTAATAATTTCCATTTTTTAAATAAAATCTAGTGTCTGCTATTGCTTTTTCTTTTTCTTTCTTTTTTGGTACTGGCCATCAAACTTGGGACCTTGCGCTTGCGAGGCAGGCGGTGGAACCACTCAGCTAAATCCCTGACGCTACTGTTGCTTTTTCTGAGTTCATGTTCTTGCATACTAAACCTTACATACTACACAATATTTTACTTTTGTTTTGACTTCAGGCTTAAAGAAATATGATTATTTACCAGAGATATTTTTGTCATTTTTATTCAGCAGATCTTGCCATAGTATTTCTGAATTTTTTTTGTCTCCTCTGCTTTTCATATTAGCCTGATTAACACACTTTTCCCCCATCGTTCAAGTGAGACCAAGGAGGAAAAAACATTCCTTTAGTGTTTCACAACATTATTTTCCATTATTGAAGTGAACTGCAGGAGTGTGTGTCCCGGATAGCTGGTAGAAATGAAACAAATTGTGTTATACTCACATTCTAATAGCAACAGTCTTTTTTTTTTTTTTTTTTTTTTTTTTTTGGTACCAGGGATCAAACTCAGGACCTTGCTTGTGAGGCAGGCGGCAGCACCACTGAACTAAATCCCCAGCCCGCAACAGTCTTTTTTTAACCAGAAACATAAATGTGATTGGCTCAAATCCATCTTAACTTGACTTTAATCCACCAAATGTAAAAACGGCATCGATTCTTAGAACTGCACTGTACAATACATAGCCACAAACCACATATGTCTGTCTGTTGAGCATCGAAGTACAGATAATCTTCAATTGAGGTGTCAATGAAAATTAAAAATTCACAATGGATTTTAAAGACTTAGTATGTTGCTTCATTTTTAAAAAATGAATTACTTTCTGATGGACACTGGTATTCTTGGAAATAAATTCTACTACAAAGTTATCCTTTACCCTGTAGTAGTCCCTCCCCCTTTGAAGTTTTAGGAGAGTTTGTGGAAGAATGCAAAGGCTGATGAGGTTTATCTCACCTAATCTTAAAAAAAAGTCAGTACCAAGTAAGGAAATGGTAATCTTTGGATAGGCTATGCTGTATTAAAGTTTATTTTCTGAGAATCATTTTATTCCTTTTATGATTATATGTGTAAACCTTGTAAATGCTTCAGGTTCAGGAACTTTGCAGAACTCTGCTTGACCTCTTGGGGAGAGAATTAAGTTGTTGGTTCACTGTACTTTGTTTTCCTCCATTCCTCCAGTGAGAGCCAAGGCAAGAGGTTTAGTGATTGTTATACCTCCTTTGGTGAAGTAAATGCACAAAGAGCCGTGGTAATGCAAGAGGATGCTCCTTGAAAGTGGTTACTTGTAAGAGTCCTGCGCTTTTCCATAAAAGAGGTCCTGGACCTTTTTTAAATGTTACAGTAGCCCTAGGAAGTAAATAAGATGTGATCTTACATTTAATTCATCCAGTGATTTATTTAGCAATATGAATTCACATTTATATAGTAAAGAAGCTGCTTTCTGGGATGGAAATTTATGAAAGACAGTGTATTTAATTTATCTAAATTATGTAGACAAATTGCGCATTTGAAGCCTCAGATCATTCAGTATGCAAATACTGATATAGCTCTTGCTGTGTTTATGACATTACAATGCAAATATAAAATATTAATATTTCTCCTAAAGTACACCTTAGAAACCTGTATTGTAAATTGCTCATATTAGGGCAATAATTTTCCAAAGATTTTGTACTGTGGCCTGCAGTTTAAAAACCGCATAAATACACCTGAAACTAAACAGTATGTATCTCTACTATATTCAGTCCACTGATAACCTCTTTTTTAACATACTGGTCATAATCATAAACTGATTTCATGACTCAGTGAATCACTATGTAGTATTTTTAAAATCTAGCCTTATAAGATTTCTATCAGGGGAAATCATTTGAAAATCTGTTTCATAATCTTCTTAAAAGAGAACTTGAATTCTTACACACAGTATCTTTAATAATTTAAATACTATCATTTCTTATTTTAGTATCTGTGAGTATTTTTGCTGTGTGTAATCCACATAGCTTGTCAGTTACGGATTTTACTAAACCATTTGGCTTATTCAGCTTAAAGTAATTAGAGACTCAAATTTCTTTGATATGTTAAATTCTCAGTTATGTTTAGTTTGTTTAATATATAGAAATATTTTATGGAGAGAATACATCCATGCTTACAGGCTAATGGTTTATGGCCTATACTTTCTCAGCAGTGTTTTTATTGAGCCCTGTGGACTTTATTTATTTAATTATTATTATTATTTTTTTTTTGGTACTGGGGATTGAACTCAGGACCTTGCGCTTGAGAGGCAGGTGGCGGAACCACTGAGCTAAATCCCCAACCCTACCCTGTGGACTTTAGAGATTACTATAAACTGGTATTGGAAGAGTAAAAGAAATGTTTCAATATTGAATCCAATCATGTTAGTCTTGGGGGAAATAAGTGAAACATTTGTTGAAAGCAAAAAAAACCTGTAAATAAAGCAGAAGTATTTGTTTCATAACTCTGTCAAAGGTTCATCTCTGTTTATCAGCCCTTTTCAGACATTAATATTCTTTTAGATAGCCAAAATTTTTAGCCATCTACCTCTTATAAATTACTTTCCAATTTTATACATCTTTTATTTTTTTACTGGATAGTACTTGGCACATGATATTTATTAAATGAATGTTGAAGAGATCAGTACAGTGCAATATTAGAAGCAGCTGGGGAATGGAAAGTTATAACTGGACAAAAGAATAAGCAAAAATAATTTGGGGACAGAAAACAGCATGTGGAACTTAAGGATGTTGCTCCGAGGTAGAGTGCTTGGCTAGCATGCTTGAGGACCTGGGTTCCATCTCCAGCACTGCAGAGCACACACACAGCATACAGCACAGGATATTGTCGTAGCACTGGCCTGCCAGAGGGGTAAGAGGTAAGTAGAGAGTTGCATAGACAGCTTTGCCTATCTTTCTGTTTTCCATGGTAAGCTAGGAATATGCTGGCACACATTTAAACTAGTTTTTGCCCTCTTCCATAATTGCTCCTCCTTTTCCACTAAATGGCTAAAGATTTCTGTTCCTTGGGATCTAGTACTCTGCTTTCTTATGTTATTGGTCCTGATTCTCACCCTTGGCATTCTCCATAGCATCAAATAGCATCTCTGTATTGATATTTTCTTCCTAGGTCCCAAAATGGAAACACCTTTAATATGACAAAATTCATGAGACTTAATACAGCAGAGCTCCATTGTTCTTTTCTGTCTCCCCTTCTGAAATATATTGCATTATTTTTTTCTTTAAACTATTACGTATTATTATTGATCAAAACCATACAAATTTCTGTTAATTAACATTTACAAGATTTTTTTTCTGCCACAAAGTAACACCAGTAATTAGGAATGCACATGAGAGAAAGTAGAGTCAGTGTAAGTAGACAATATTAACAAGAAACTTGTTTGTAACAGTGAATGAAATTGAATAGTAGCTGAAGACAGAAGTGAGGTAAGGAAGAAAGTTTTGTGGTGGGTTTTTTTTGCCAGTGTTGGAGATCAAATTCATGGCCTCACACATGCTAAACAAGCACTGTACTGCAGAACTATACTCTCAGAACTTTAAAATTTTATTTATGTGAGTAATTAGCATATATAAATGCAGCTTTTCTAGAGTAAGGAAAAGAGTTTGGAGGTGCTGAAGTGGCCAGAGGGAATGAAACCCCCAGCATCTGTGAAGAATTGGCCTTTAAATAGTGGTCGTGGGGTTGGTATATAGGTTAGTGGTATAGTGCTTTCCTTGAATACATGAAGTCCTGCGTTTGATTCCCAGCCCCACAAAACAGGCACAAAAAATTGTCGTGTCAAGAACAGTGCAGAAACATAATAATGCTAAAGATAAAATGGTGACAGCCTTTTACTATGTAAAATGCCATCTATTATTATTTTTTCTTTTACTAAAAGCCTTGAAACTTTGAATTTATGATTTAGTAACTATTGTTGCTATGGTTATTTAAATGTTTGTTATGCTAGTGAACAGTTTTCATAGCCTCAAATATAATTGGGTGAGAACATTTTCTCTACAGCTTTAGACATTTTTCTTTTTCAGGGGCATTAAAAATCAATTTGATTGTTCCTGTATTTGAAGAGCATTTGTATTTAGCAGTGGTACAGAATGACCAAGTACTGTATTGCAAGTGGTAGAAAACAAATTTCTGGCTTTAATTGTGTTTACTTATTCTAAATTTTTTTCCCTTTGGTTTGCAGAGTCAAGTAAAGAACAGTTTGCCAGTACAAACATTGCTGAAGAGTTAGTCAGACTCTTCAAGAAACAAGTAGAGCATGATAAGAGAGAAATGATTTTTGAAGTTCTTGCTCCATTGGCAGAAAATGGTGAGAAAATAAATGCATCTCTTTGATTTTTTGATGATGTAGATTTATTCAGGTTTTTCTCTAATATTGTTTAATTTTCAATTCTTTATCTCAGAACCTTTCTTTGTGTTATTAATGATGTACTAAGTATTATTTTGGTATCTCTAACTTCAGCTACATTATCTCCTCCACAGCTGTTATCCACATTGGGGAAAGCTATTTTGCAAGTCCCTTTGATTTTAAAGTCTTAGCAGAGATACTTCTGTAGCTGACCCATTTTTGTTAATCCAGAAAAGGCAAGTAGAGACTGAACTCTACTTCTGTACTCCTGTAAGAAAAAAGGAGTAAAAGTTAGAGTCGTAGCCCTGCAAATATTGAGCATGTTGGTAAACCATTCCCTTGTTTGGACAAAAAAATATTTTAGAGGATGCATCATAGGAGGAAAAAGCAAAACAGAGGGAACAAAACACCCCTTGTAAGTAGTTCTTAAATAGAATGTCTAGCACATAGTCAAAGAGATCTACCCACATGAGACAAGACACTGTAAGTAATAACCAGCACAAAGAACAAACAACAGCAGCAGATCTTCAGAAAGTTATTACACAGTGATTCAAAACAGGTATGTTTATGATGTTCAAAGATTTAAAAGTAAGCTTGAAAAATTTAGAAGAAAACTATAAAATGTTACATAACAGATTTGAAAAACAAATGAAAATTTTTCAACTGAAAAATTCACTGAAAAAAGTTTTGAACTGAAGAATTAAATACCTAATGGATGAGTTTAACCACAGATTACATATAGTTAAATCCGTATAACCTTTGAACCCAAAAATAAATTGGAAGGAAATACAGAATGATACATAAAGAAAAAGAGAAAAGATATACATGAAAGAAAACAAGAAGATGCAAGCATGGTGGCACACGGCTTTAATCCCAGCACTGTCAGAGATTAAGGCAGGAGAATCACAGGTTCAAGCCCAGCCTAGGCAACTTAGTGACTTAGACCCTGTCTCAAAAATAAAAAACAAAAAAAATTTTTTTTTAAAGGACAGAGAATGTAGTTCAGTGTGAAGGCCTTAAATTCAGTCCTTTGTGTGTGTATGTGTGGGGGCTGAGTTGCAGAGGATACAGTGAAAGGCTCTCTTATATTTTTTGGAGTCACAGAATGTGACAGTTAACTGAGTGTATCAACTTGAATAATAAATGCCAAGCTAAATTGGATCACCATATCTCTGGGTGTGGCTAAAGAGATTTACTGAAGACAGAAGACTCACCCTAGGGTAGCTTGTCACCTGAATGCTCCCTATGAAGAGGAAACAAAGGAGGAAGTCTCCCTTCTGTTTGTTTACCTTGGATGTCACCTCCTGGCTTCTAGCCCAGACCCTGCAGCCTTCCAGTGCAGACCGTTTGGCCTCCTGATATAGACTGGCACAGGACTACACTGATGTCCAGGCCTTTGAATCTTCCATGCACAGGCAGACCTTTTGCTCTCTTCACACCTGACTCTGTGGGTGGCCATCGTAAGCCAATCTTGTAAATTCATACATATTTGTATATCTTGCATTAAATCAGTTTCTCTAATGAGCACTGACTGATACACAGAAGAAGAACAGAAATGAGAGGTGGAAAATATTTTAAGAAATTTTGGAAGAGAATTTACTGAAAAGTATGAGAGATGTTAAAGATTCAAGAAGCCCAATAAAACCAAATATGACAAATGTCTTAGTCTGTCTTTGTTGCTGTAACTCAGTATCACAGACAGAGTAATATTTAGCTCATGATTCTACAGGCTGAGAAGTTCAAGACTGGGCAGATACAAGGTCCTTCTTGGTGGTGAGAATTCTCTACTGGGCATCACATTGCGTAGAACATTCTTCTTACAAAGCCCTGATACTGTTTGATTGTAGCCCCACCATTATGACCTCATTTAATGTTAATTGCCTCCCAGATATTTCTTCTCCAAATACCATAGTCAGATTAGTTTTCTACCCTCTTAGTACCTCACAGTGGGGACTAAATTTCAACATGAGTTTTGGTAGTAGTATTCAAATCATAGCAATAAACAAAAGGAAACCTACATCTAGTGGCATCATATGCAGAAAACCAATAATAAAATCTTAAAATTAACCCTGAGAAAAATAGATAACCTTCAGAAGAGCAGCAGTTTGGCTGACAGCTAACTTCTCAACAGCAGCAATGAAAGCTAGAGGACAGTAGGACAACATAATTTCTAACCTGGAATTCTAAATCCAGTGAAAATACCCTTCAACATAAATGCAAGAGAAAAGTTTTCCAATTAAATATCTCACTAGGAAAAATCACCTGTTTGTCAGAAGGAAAATGATACAGATAAAGGGGAGAAAAAAAAAGCCAAAAAGAAACAAACAGCTAACTTCTTGTGAGGATATAAAATACACCACAAACTGAGCACATTAATTGGGAGAAAATAAGGATTTTTTTTTTTCTCAATACTGGGGATCGAACTCAGGACCTTGCACTTGTGAGGCAGGCAAGGTACCACTGAGCAAAATCCCCAGCCTGAGAGAAAATAAGGACTAAAGGGTCCCAAGACTCTTGCATTATTGGGAGGAACTATTAGGCTCTGATTATTCAGTGATTTCAACTTTTAAGGTGACTATAATTTAAAAAAATAATATGTAATTATCAAACTAATAGAAGATTTATGGAATTTTTTTAAATACAGAATCAGTACAAACAGAGAAGAAAAGAACCAGAAACATGGAATAAAAATAGGGTATAAAAATGTAATAGATTTAAGACAGTATTTCAGTAATCACACTAAATGTGTGTAGCCTAAATGTTTTCATTGAAAGACTAATTGTCAACAAATGGGACTATGTCAAACTTAAAATCTTCTGCGCAGCAGAAAACAATCAACAGAGTGAAAAGACAACCTACAGAATGGGAAAAACAATTTTGCCAGCTATACCTCACACAGAGAACTGATATCTAGGATATATAAAGAACTTTAAAAAGACCCCCAAAATAAAATGGATACTTCACAGAAGTAATACAAATGGCCAATAAACACATGAAGAAATGCTCAACATTGCTGACCTTTAGAGAAATGCAAACTAAAACAATACTAAGATTCCATCTTATCTCAGAAAGAATGGCTGTCATCAAGAAATTAATAACAAGTGCTGGCAAGGATAAGGGGAAAGGGATTCCTTTTACACTGTTGGTGGGAATGTGCACTAGTACAACCACTTTGGAAATCAGTATAGAGATTTCCTCAAAAAACTGAAGCTAGAAATTCCATTTGACCCACCTCTTCTCTTCTAGATATCTGCCTGAAAGAGTTAAAGACATCACATTACAATGAGCCATGCACACTCATGTTTGTAGTAGCACAATTCATATTAGTTAAATCTTAGATGTGGCATGTACAGCCACCAGTAAATGAATGGATAGAAAGAATGTGGTATTTATACATAATGGAGTGCTACTGTGCCATAAGGAAAGATAAATGAGTCATTGGTAGAAAAATAGATGTACCTTGAGACCATAATATTAAGTGAAGTAAATCAGACACACACAAGCTGAAATATTGTTTCTCTTATATGAGAAACTCAAGGTATAAATAAAGAGCAAAGTAAAAGATAGAAGTAGGGAGGTAGATATTTCTCAAAGGTGAAGGGGATCAAGAGATAGAAGGGGAAAGAAAGAGAATGAAAAAAGGAGTTAAAGTCTGCTATATACATGTACCAATTCCCCATGATAAATATATTTATAAACTACAAACATACTAATAAAAAGTCTGTTATATCAGTTTTCTTAATTATGTTTCTCAAATTTTTTATGTCATACTTTCACCTGCTTGTTCTGTAAATTACTGAAAGACATACAAAAATATCCCATTATACTTGTAGATGTGCCTGTTTCTCCTCACGGTTCTGAATGCATTTAATTCTTACATTTTGGAGTAATATGTAATTGTTTAACCCTCCAAGTGAACTAGACCTTTTATGACTATAGTCTTTTTTTTTTCCATTCCTTTTCCCTCCTTTACCTCCCCCCTCCCTCTGTCCCTTGTTGCACTTCTAATAGACATATTTTAGAATCACTTATTTGTATTTGTCTTGAAATAATCTTCAACAAATTGCAAAGGATTTTAAGTTGGAGAGACTATTTTGACCTAAGTCAATACCCTAGTAACTAATAGTAGACAACTAGGAAATGTCTGCTTTAATATTTAAAAATATGCTTCCCATACCTCAGAGATCAAAGAACAGCTATACTGAAAATTAGAAGAAATAGTTCTGATAATGAAAATAGAATTAAAACATTTTTCAAGTCATATGTGATACAGGTAAAGCTAAAGCTATACTGAGAGGGAATTTTGTGTTTTAAATCAATATTTTAGAAAAAGAATAAAACTTGGGCCAGAGGTTTAGCTCAGTGGTTTCACTGCCTGCCTCGCAAGCACAAGGTCCCAGTACAAAAAGAAAAGAAAAGAAAAGAAAAGAAAAAGAATAAAAATAAAATCAATGAGTTTACTATTTATTTCACGAATTTAGAGGAAAAGAAGCTCAATACAGTAGAAGAAGAGCTAAAATTATTGAAATAACATAATGAACTATAGGCATCAAGTTGTTGAAGTTCAGCATGAAAAGACTTAATTGGTAAATCCCTAAAGTAAGATCAATCAGAAAAAAAAGAGAGACAAAGCACAAATAATGCAGAAGGAGACCTTACTACAGATCTTACAGATATTAAGATGTTAGGGACATGATCCAATACATTTTAAAGTATGGATGACCCAAGAAGAAATAGAAAAGTGGAATAATTATATTCTTCGAGAGAGTAGGAAAACCAAATATACTTACTAGTGTGTCTAAAACTGCAGCACATTAACTCTAGGAATGCAATTAAGCTAATCATGCCAGAGTGCATTTATTCTGAAAACGTAAAGCATGTGATCTCAGATTCAAAAAATCCATTTGATATGATTGTTGTTGTATAATTTTCTGTAATTCTTACTAAACCAGTACTAAGAG